GCCGAGGGCTCGAGGTTGGGACGACCATGGGACCGACGGAAGGCCCCGCGAGAGCGCTTCGCCTGCGGCGCGCCTGCCCGTGACCAGGCTTCACCGCCGCTTGCCGGCGGCTGATCGCATCGCCTACCGCATCGCGAATGACCAGTGCCGCGACCACTTGACCTTGCACTGCCTGCCTGCTGACCCGGTGCAAAGAATCTGCGTCTCAGTTCTTCGGCGCATTGATTGTGCATGATTGCTCAAGTGGCTCGAATTTGGCATCCACCGCAATGCGAACATGACTGGAGAGCTTATATGCAACACGGACGCAGGCTTGCCGTTTGCGGCGTCGGTTATCAGAGGGGTCAGGTCATAGTGACGCGCTCGATGGGTTGCTGCATTGACGCAGACAGCAGAAGCATCGCAGCGGAGACCTTCTTATGAGGTTATGAGTGGCGGCTCGCACCATGCGGCAGTGCGGACACCAGGTGCGCGAATTTAAGAGCCATTTCGATTCCATGGTTTTGGCACTGTCTACCAACTCACAGTTACCAACTTTGGTACAAATCGACTTGGTCTGGGCACAGCTGAGCCCTGCGTTGCGTTTGCCTCCATTCTGAAAGTGTGGCGGCGCCCATTTTTTGAAATGTCTGCCACTCACCTAAGCTGATCTCAGAAACACTCGTGCCTCAGGGCATTTTAATTTTTCCTTCTCCATGAGCCGGCGAGTGAAAATCGCAGATGCTCTATCGTTAACTTAGAACTTAGAGCTTAGTATCGAGATCACATCGAGATCACTCGAGATCAACAGTGGTGATTTCTTGTTGGTCTTCAAAAATCTCCCTCTCTCGAGATCCCCCACTCGAGATCACGCACAGGTAAATCACGGCCTACTTCACAGAGGTAAAGGGCCCACGGCTGCCCAGAGGTAACGGTAAGAGGGCCGCCGGCCCTCAGAGGTAGAGGTAACCTAGACCCCTCCTACCCGGCATTTTGGGCCGATCTCGCTCTCTATCTACTCTCTCTCCCTCCCTCACTCTCTCACTCGGTGTCGGTCACTCTCGCACCGACCTTCATTCCACCTCGCTTTGTCTTGATTTGCCAACAACAAACCTAAACCTCGCGGTCGTCGACTCTCGCGTAGGTAGGTAGAAAGGTGAAGAACAGCCAGGCTCGGACTGGACACCAACGCGGTATGGGTGGACGCTGGACAGATGATGACGACACGCACGAGCGACACACAGACACAAACAAGCTCACAAGACACACAGCCAGCTGGCTGCCACACACCCTGAGTTGGCGTACACATAACTCAAGGCCACATCCTCCCTGTCGCCCCCCCCAGCACTCCAAGGTGCCAAGAGAAACAAACAAGGGCACAACAAACAACAGACGACAGGAAGTGACATGTGAGGCTAGAGCAGACCGCTCCGCCTCTAGCAATCTCTCCGGCCGGCGAGGCACGGACGAGACCGTATGTGGGGTCTAGTGGGGTGTCTATGGACGCCCTCCTCATGGGCTAGCTGCCTGCGGCTAGCCCTAATCTCGCACTCACGGACAGTGACAATCCAAATGGGTGAGTGTTTGCGAGCTGAGGCGCGTGTGCTAATTCTAGGCCGCACGTCGTGGCACTATGACGTAGGTAGACGTGCGACTGCAGCGCGCCCACCACAGTCTCGGTGGGGCGCGTGTTAGCGATAGAGTTGCGGGGAGAGCCATTCCCGACTTTTTGGAGGCGGCCCCCACGCCACGGGTGCCAGCCGTGCCTTCGCGGGAGTCGTCTCCCGAGCCGCGTCCCGTCGGCACTGTCCCCGAGTGGTCCCGCCTTGGCGGCACACACTCTCGCGATTCCTCTCGCAATCATGAAAAGAAATACTGCGGCTTTTCATCACACAACGAGCGCCCGAAGCCCTACCGGGTATCGATATCGCCGGGGGACGGAGCTGGGGCAGAGGAACCTACGGCAGGCTGGGCCACGGCGATCAGCAGGACCAGCTGCTGCCGAAGAAGATCGAGGCCTTTCTCGGAGCGAGTTGGGTCTCGCCGTGTGTATGGCGACGCTCAGGCTTCCGCTCGTCCGTTACCCAAGTGTTCTCTTTCCGGGGTCAGCTGTGACGTTATCAAGCTCTCCTCTTGCTGCGGCAATATCGGCCGCGTTGCGCTATGACTCGAGAATTGCCGTGCTGGGACCGGTTGGGAGGATTGCGGTGGAGCTGCGGCTGGTTTGCGACCAGCATCTCAGCGATAAGCCGTCTGGCGTGGTGCACGGCCTCACCGGCGACCGACGAAGACTGCACTCCCTAGCTGAGGGAGGCGAGGGCGGCGCTTCCATCTCGAACTTTGAGCCTGTGGATGACGACCCTATGTTGTCACCTGCGCGCGAGGAGAGGGTGCACGATGAGGCGCAGCGTGCACGCGACCTCCTCGAGCGCGGCGTGGAGCAGCGCGCCTTCTCGCTCGAGCCTTCTCACCTCGACGACGAGCTCGGCCTTGGACCGCTCTGTGACCCTCGGCGCCGCCCGTCAGAGTGTTGCCATCGCCAGTGGTTGCCTCCGACACGCAACACCTCCGCGTAGGTGCCACCCGCTGTGGCAGTCTGACGAGTCTCCGCCGGCTGAAGCCGCGGCGCTCAGGCGGCAGAACCCCCCCCTCCTCCGCACCTCCAACCTACCTTGACCACTCTCCCGCTGCTGCAGTTTCTGGCTCGCTGGCAGACTGCCCCTCGCCACTTCGCTGCGCGCGTCCTGCCTCGCATCCACCTGCCCGCTGAAGCGGCTGTGTGAGGTCAACGACGCGATGCGGCTGCTCCTCTGCAACGACCCGGCTCGCTTCCGTCACAGATTGCGGCTGCAGGTCGAGACGCCCGCGAGCGACGGGTGTCACGGCATCGGCATCGGCGGCAGCGCCACGCCGCGCACGATTGTCGCTGAGGCGCCTCCGAGCTACGCGTGGGTGGCAGACAACTCCTTTCCGCACGGATGATGTGCGTCGTCGACGCGCGAGCAGAGGCCGAGGCGTGAGCGGGTTAACCGGGCTACCGGGGTGCGGGGAGAGCGGGCTTCGATTTTTGATTTTGATGGATGACTGAGCCCGAGGCCGGCGCCGGGGTTCGGTTGCGGGGACCGTCGCCCAGGGGGTTTTGCGTCTCTATAATAATATAATTGTCAGACCGAGCTTCACACGCGTGGAGCGCTCCGTGGTAGACCGCTCGTCACCGAGTCACACACAGAGTCACACACACGCACCCCGACCCCCCCGACACACACAAACGGACCCTGCACAAAGACCGCGGATGGCGTGGCGCGGGGGGGGGCGGTGGGCGACCCCGCTCTCGCCGCGCTCTCTCTCACGTCTCAGCGGAGAGCGAGCGCGGCCTCTCAGTTCCTGGCCTCACTCGCCGCCGCCGCCTTGCACCCACTCGACCAGCTCATCGATGAAGCACGGCCACGCGTTGCCTCCGCCCGCCGCGTCGTCGTCATAGTTGCTCAGGTCCCGCAGCACGACGCCGACGGCGGTGAGATTTGCGAAACGGCCAATCTGCAGCCACAAATCCTTGGTGAAGGCCTGGCCGTGGACCGACGCCGAGAACTGGCGCAGCTTTGGGAACAGCCACCACGCGCCGAGCGACGCATCCATCAGCTGGAGGCCCTCGTCGAGCGGCACCGTTCGCACCGAGCTTGACGGCGCGCTCACCTTGAGCGCCTGGATCGCCTTGCCCATCTCAAAGAGCCACTTCCAAAAGCGGTTCCAGTCGGCCGTGCCAAAGGAGTTCTCAATCACCTGCCGCCGCGCGCGCAGCTTGGCCGGAACCTCTTGCAGCGTGCTGCAGCCGAGGCCCTCCATGCAGCGCTGCAGCTCAGCCTTTGTTTTGCACACGACCATGATGTTGTCGACGGTCGGCGAGAGGAGGTGGTTGAGAAAGCAAGCCTCGAAGGACATCTCCTTCAGCTCGAGTGCCTCGCACAGCTTTGCGAAGCCGGCCGCGCCCATCACCCCGTCCTCCACGTACTCGGCGTTTCCCCACACCTCAGCCGCCGTGCGCGGCCCGCGCCCCGTCGAGACGACGGCGACGTCCGGCTCAGCCGCCTCTGCTCCCTTCCTGGACTTCTTCTGCGCCTTGGATGCTGGCTTGGACGGCGACTTTGCGGTGGCGGCGGCGCGCTTGCGAGGCGGCATTTGGGACAGCAGCCGCCTGCGGGCGCTGTTTCAGTCAGTGCCGCGCTTCGTGCGAGGCGGGCGCCGTGAGGCAGAGAGCGTGGAAGCTGGGCGAGCGAGGAGGGGCGACGGGGGCGTGGGGCAGTTTGCCCTGCTCCAGGGCCCGCGGGATTTGGGACGGGAGAGGCAGGGGGGGCGCCGGGCGCGCCCACTTCTTGCGTGCGCGCGTAGTGCTGATGCGCGGCGCGATATTTTTTCCCTTGTGCGCGGGACAAAGTGAATGCCAACAGGCTTTCAAGTAATTTGATCTACCATCTTATTAACATTTCCCCCCTCCACGAGGCGGCGGAACGAGCCCCGACCGTCATCTGCAACCCCCTAAGGAAGGAGCGCTGGCAGCTCACGATTACAACGAGGCCAAGCTGCAAGCAGGAGCGAGCGAGCGAGCGAGCGAGGAAGCGGACGGCGGCGGCGGCGGCCGCCGCCAGAGAGTCGAGAGTGAGAGGGAGGGAGCGGAAGAGAGACTCCGCCCAGCTAATGCAAGCCCATAGCGCGGACTGCGAGGGCGAGGGCGAGGGCGAGGGCGGCGAGGGCGGCGGCTAGGGGGAGCACGAGGGGGAGGAGCCCGAACTTGAAGACGTAGAGGTCCGCCAGCTGAAGCACGTACTCTATGTTTTGCCTCATCGTTAGTTTCGACTCGCCCGCCAGCCGGTCCCGAAAAGTGATTGGCACGTCCCGCACGCGTGTGCAGCGGCAGCGAACCATCAGCTCGAGCCCGATCTTGAACCCCTTCGTCTTGATGCCCGCCGCCGCGCCGCGCGCGAGCGTCTCCTTGGACAGGCAGAAGAAGCCCGACATGGGGTCCGATGAGCCGGACAGGGGGACCGCGAGGAGAGTGGCGCCGTGGGAGATGGCACGCCGTAAGAGCGACCACTCGAAGCCGACACCACCGCCCCCGACGTTGCGCGACCCAACCGCGAAGTCCGCGTCGCCGTCGAGGACCGGCCTCGCCACCGCCGGCACAGCTTCGGGCTCGTGCTGCAAATCGGCATCCATGCACAAGACGACCGGCGCCGCAGCGGCGCCGAAGCCATTCAGCACCGCGGATGCGAGCCCGCGCCCCTCCCCGCGCTTACGTGCGAGGAGCTGCACCTCGAACCCCTCGGCTGCCAGCGCGGCCACCGCAGCCGCCGTCGCTGCGGAGCCGGGCGACTCGTCGTCGGCGACAATGAGCTCGGCGCGCACGCATGCCTTGCGTGTAGCCGCAAACAGACGGCGCGTGAGGGGCTCGATGTTGGGAGCCTCGTCGAACGCTGGCACCACGACCGACAGTTCGAGCTGCTGGCCCATGGTATGTAATTCTCGGGTCGTTCCACGTCGGCCTCCACCCCAGCTCCACCCTGATCGGCTGCCCCGGCTCTCTCTCGCTCGCAATTCTTTTTTCGTGCATAGGCAGCTCTCCTTAATGAACTCGATCCCGTTCGGGGGCGCCGCCTCGCTGGGGCAGTGGGGCAGTGCCCTCTGCTGCGTGTATTTCTTTGCCACGTGTGTTTCTTTTGGCGCAGTGGCCGATGCAGATATGTAAAATATGTACCGAAGCGTAATGACGTCAACCTTGCCAGCCTTGACCCTTGTCTTAGGCTGAGCGAGACGCGGCGCGGCTCTGCGGCAAAGGCATCTGTCCATGGGACGGTGACCTTGCCCAGCGTGTCGACGTCGGCCGAGCTGATGGCAGAGGCCCTGTCGTAGTCCAAAACGATTATCTTGAGCGGGCTGAGCCTGCCGCCGCGAGGCAGGATGCCCTCAAAATCGATGGTGAAGGCCTCGCCCCAGGTCGGGTTCAAATCATCGTCGACCACGCGAGTTGTGCCCAGCCTGGTTGCCGGGCTCGTCGATCAGGCCATAGAGCTTTGCAAACGGGTCGCTTTTATTGAACATTCCGTCTGCGTTTCGCAAGCCCGTGGCTGAGTTCAGCGTCACCCTGGTTGGCGTGTAGAGACGCACCGCCAGCTCCAACACCCCCTTCGCCTTTTCCCCTTCCAGGGTGCCCTCCACAGATCGCCACTTGGTCGAGGTCCCTGGCTTGGGGAAGCCCACGCCAGCTTGAACTCGCCGAGAAAATCATCAGAGCCGCCGAGCGCGCCATCGGCATCGAGGACGGTGAATAGGATCATCGGCGTCTTTCCAGGAATGTAGTACATCTCGTCTATCACCGGCGAGTTGTCATTGTCCGTCACCCTTGTCTTGAAGGACTCGCCACCCTCGACAGATATGGTCACGTATGGGTCGCTCTTGCCGAACAAATCCGCGCTGCGGAGGCCAACGCAGCGCTTCACGTGGAGCAGCATGCTATTGCCGAATCGCCGCCCGCTACACGCGAACCGCAAGCAAGCACGTACGGTCCGTACGTCCGTATGGGGGTGCCAATCCAGAGTTGCCCGCTAGAAAGAATTTTACAGTGCTAGAAAGAAAACATGGCGACGGGCCCTCAGCGGAGCTGGGAAGAGGACCGCCGCAAGCGGCGTGGCGTGGAGCGGTTGAGCATCCCTCCGGGGGCCCCTCTGCGCCGGGGAGGCGTTGTTGGAGGCTAGGACGCAAGCGTCCGTCGCCCTTTTCAAACTCGGGGCCCACTCCGCTACGCTCCGACCCGAATTTGGAGGGCCTAAAAGTTTAAGGTGTTGCTGCGCAAAAGGGGTCGGACACACAGGGCGCAGCTGGAGACGCTCCCCCTCAATCGGCATCCACCCCCACCCGCTCCAGCCCCACTTCTGCTGCCGAGAGAGCTGAATCGTGCATCTTGGCGTGCTCCTGGAGCGCGGCTTTCTGCTTGGCGGCCACGAGCACGGCGGAGTCGGCGTCGTAGCGCGCATCGTTCCCGCTCATCGCCCATTCCTCCCGTGACGTGTGTCGGCCGCGATTCGATGTCGCCACCTTCATCGCCAACGAGGACTCCCTCGACTGCAGGGGGGCTCCGGCGCGGGGAGGGACTCCGCCTGCTGCGCTGGCCGACTGCGCCCTCCTCCTCCATGGGCTCGATCCGATTCCGCAGCGGCGGTGCTGCGCGGGAGGCGGCCGCGGGCACGTCAGCGGCTTCCCCTCAAGTTGCGCGAAAGCACGGATTTGGCGGACGTTCAGCTTTCAACTTTGCGGATGTCTTGGCACCAGCTGAAGGCTTGCACGGGTCCGTCCACGGCGGACATCACATGGTTTCTGCCGGTATTCGGGTTTTGCTATTTGTTCGTGTGGGGTATATGCAGATTTGTCAATGGTACCGCGTCTGCGATGGGGGACGGCGATGCGGGCGCCTTGCGGGCAGAGCCCTTAGCCACCCTTTATATCTTGCGCGGTCAAAATGCGAAGCAAAACTCCCTGGCACAACACTGGGCACGGGACTGGCGCGCACTGGCACTAACACAGGTACACCACGCACAAGAAAGAAAGCCAATTTTCTTGACTTGGGCCCTCGGGGAGCCCTTCTCGGGCGGCCTTCTCTCGAGGTCTCGAGATACACAGAACGGCCAAAATCCTCCTACGGGAATGTACGCAAGAGAGGCTCGACACAGGTGCGGAACGGCGCGTGCTAGCACTAACACAGGGCAAAACCGCGTGACGAACCCCGGGGCTGGGTTTTTAGGCATTGTGGGGTTGGCACTCCCATCGACCCTCATGACCTCCTGCGGTCTCTGAGATGGACACCAGTAGGTGTGGGACCATAGCCAGGGTACACTCGAAGGCTGGGTAAGCAGTAGAGGTCGATACTCGACGCGTCCCACATGGTCTGTGTCGCTGTCGGCACGCTGTCGACAGGACGTCGAGCGACACCGGTGGCAGTGCCACCCAGGAGTGGTCGGGCGGTCTCCCGTCATGAGAGAGCCACCATGTGATCCGTATGATGATTCCTGACAACCGCCTCAGTCAACTTTCGTCACAGTTCCCGCTCTGAGAGGAGCTGCGGGTCAGTTCGACAGCTGGAGCTGTGTCGCCGGCGTGCGGCGGCCTGCCTCCGGAGGTGCCTCTGAGGTGGACATTTTTTGGTCACCGTGAGAGAACGCGTTCGAATTTTTACTCCGGAACTTCAACTCTGCACGCGCACCGGCTAGGGCTGCAATAGTGCCAGTGAGGCGGAGGCGCGAGTCGGAAGGCCGCGACCGTCAAGTGTTCCCCCAATTTTCCTACAATCGCTGTGAACCCAGCCACGTATATGTGTCTTAAGGTTCTCCGGGCCCCTTTAGGGAGGCAAACCCTGGCCGGCCCCTAGAACCCCAGGTAAGGCCCAGGTGTGGCCTAGGGCATCAGAAGTCGGTGATCGCGCCGGCCGGACACCACTGTGACGTCCGTTCCGGGCATTTGAACGCGACCTTCGGGGGCAAAGACATGGGCTCTATGGCTCAGACTGGACTCCTCTTGGTCCCTTCTGATGCCCTAGGCCACACCTGGGCCTTACCTGGGGTTCTAGGGGCCGGCCAGGGTTTGCCTCCCTAAAGGGGCCCGGAGAACCCCTTAATATGAAAAAATAAGAGCCCTTGGGTGGGGCCTTAGGCTCAGGCCTCAGCAGCCAGCACTAGCTCTGATACTATGAATATGTGTACGATTTACGTATATTCGTGTTTGGTCTCGACTCTCTCTCACTATTGCGCGTCTACCACGGGCATCGCGGCGCGCGAAACGCAAAAAGGGGGTCGTCGCGCCCCGCGACGGAGCTCCGACCACCAGATTGTGGCCGCGCCACGTGGTCCGCGCACCTAGCACTCCCCCCCCCCCCC